GTCTTAAAGTTGCCAAGGTTGGAGACCCCTGTCCTACAGGATAAAAAAAAAGTGGTAGGTTTCCATCACGTCACAGCTAAAATCTTGATTGTGTTTTGACTGACCAGATGTCCCTTCCCACTTCATCCAAACCAAGAGAGGAGAAACTCGTTTGAGGAATTGAAACAGGCGTTTATATGAAGAGAAACACCAAATAACCCTAAGTGCTTGTCTTAGGTTTTCCAGGCTGTGTTGTGACTCATCCTTTTGTTCTTGAGTTTTATCATTTTACCTGCCAGCACTTCTCCCTCTTCTTTTCTTTCTTTCTTCCTTCATTTTCTTTTTTTAAAAACACTGTAAATTTCCAAGGATATTGGGCATGGGGGGGAAAAATTGAAGTCATTCTGGTGCAATTTTCCTGCCAATTCTCATGCCGAATGCTTCACTGGCATTTGTGATTCTCCCTCAGTTGCTTCCTTCCTGCATGATCTTCCAGTCACTTCTGAGCCCACTCTCGTGCTGTCGTCCTCTTTTTATAAATTATGTACAGTAAACTATGTGTTTTAAAAAGTGCATGTGTGCCAACTCTGCTTTGTTGCAGGCCAACATCTGTTTCAACATGTGCCTTCTGTGTACAGATATTGCTTTCCTTCCTTCCTTCGTCTATTTCCTTCATCCCTTCCTCTCCTCTCCCTAACTTCTGTTTCAACATCTGCCTTCTGTGTACAGATATTGCTTTCCTTCCCTCCCTCCCTCCCTCCTTTCTTTCCTTCCTTCCTTCCTTCCTTCCTTCCTTCCTTCCTTCCTTCCTTCCTTCCTTCCTTCCTTCCTTCCTTCCTCTAACTCCTCTGTCACTTCCTCTCTCCTTTCCCTTGCCATAAGGTAAATAATCTTTTTTCCTTCCTTCCTCTCTCTAACTCCTTCCTTCCTTGCTCAATCTCCTTCATCCCTAACTCTGGCTCCTTTCTCTTGTCATAGGCTAAATAAATAAATCTACTTTTTCTTCCTTCCTCTAATTTCTCCCTACCTCTCTTCCTCTCCTCTCTTTAACTCCTTCCTTCCTTCCTTCCTTCCGTCCTAAAAAATTACAATTGCTTCCTTCCCTGTCCAGAATCAAATCAAATATTTCTATATTTGATTTCAACAGTAGGCTGTCAGATTTAGGCCAGGGGTTCTCTGGCTTGTTGGTTTCTATGTGTAAGTTCCATCATCATCATCTTACCAATGATTGGCATGATAAAATAAAAACTCTGCATCCATCCTGCATTTGTTCTCTCTGCTGAAGTCATGCTTGAAAATTCTTGGAGCATTTGTTCTACTGCCACTGCTGTACATGCATTTTGAGATATAATGCATATAGATATCTATATATCTCTCCTTATATGTATAGATAAAGATATATATATATAGATATGCGCTAACCCACAGCATCTTGCTGTAGCTAAACAGGAAATGGCAGTTTTAGTTCCTTTATTCTTTTCCAACAGAAGTGTTGACTTTTTACAGATATTTTACGTAGACCTGTCCTTACGTTTTACTTTTGCTCCAGTTCTCTCTCTTTTTTAAAGAAAAAAGTGCTGTTCATTATGCAAAATCAAATATTTTAAGAATCAATATTGTAAATATCTTTTGTGAATATTTTAGCCTTGTCGTTGATTATAAAAACCCTTTTTTACATGTCTTTTTAAAATGCAGAGTCTGGGAGGGGAGAGAAAACTGCCTTTTTTTTCTTTCTTTCTTCCCTCCATCCCCAGCTAAAGGGAGCATTAAATTCTCTTTTTTGTTATAAATTAGACCCTATCAGTTTGCAAATCCACATCATCCATCAGCCCCATGTGCTAAAGAGCAAGAATTATGACTGTCATAGATCACCTTTTTTATTTAAAAGAAAAGATCCTTGTTTAAATACACCAGAGAATTATTCTTTACCCACACCTAGGAGAGAGAAAAAGGGGTGTAGGATAAACCCTGATATCTGTTATACATTACAGTGCTTGGGGCTGTAGATGACAAACCATGAGGACAGAAGATAGAAGTATAGGGGTTATTTCTTTTTTTAATACGTTTCCCCAGATTTATCCATCCTTATTTGTGATCACTGAACATCTGGCACAGCTATGTCTGGTTGCCCACAACAAGCTTAGTAAAATAAAAATGCCATATTTTTTTTTCATGTCTGTCAACTGAGTGTCTTCAGCTTGGAACAGATGCAATTTGTTGAAGGCCGATCTTAAGCCATAGACTGCGTTGTGTGTAATTCTGCAAAATGGCCCCTTTATTATTAAAGCACATATCTGTTCCAACAAGTACTTGAATCCATTTTTTTTCTCCCCCTCTTGCTTTTCCACGTAACTGGAAACCAAATTATGTTCAAAGCAGGGAGGGTTTGGCTCATAGGGATCTAGATAAAAGGTTCTAAAAAGTCACTTTTTGATAGGAGGGAAAACATCTACAACTGAGGCTATTGTGGGCATGAGGCTTCCCCTTATTTGAAGGTTTGTCTCAAATAACAAGCATTAAATCTGCATTGTGGGCAGGGGTAGATCAGGTATGTTCAGTGGTGGGATTCAAATAATGTAACAATCGGTTCTCTGCCCTTATGATTTCTTCCAACAACCAGTTCACCAAACTGCTCAGGAAGTAAACAACCGGTTCCCCCAAACTGGTGCGAACTGGCTGAATCCCACCTCTGGGTATGTTGCTTTGTTCTGCGAAAGGAGAAGCGTATTTATTGAACGCGGAATCTCTGTGGCTAAATTGATGAATAGGTACGGATTTGATCACAAGAGCGTGCTTTGCAAAAAAAAAATCAGCCTAGGAAGCCCTGCACTTAACACACACAAATGCACAAACACAAACACACCAATAAACACAAAGGATTTATCAACATATTGTATTGCTTTAGGCTGGGGAAGGGAAAAAAATAATAATAATAAAACTACACTGCCATCCTGTTAAAATACAGATAATTTCTGCTAAACAGCGTGGAGTTCAGTCCTTAAAAGTCTGTCCTGTTACATTTAGTGCAACTTACTTTGAAGAAATATAAGTTATGGCCTTAATGAGATTTTTTTTCAGGGGGGGGGGGGGTGGTAAAAAAAAAATTTATATTGTTTTTTGGGTCCCCCCCCCCCCAACAATTGGTTGTTTTAGAAGCATTTTGTTTTGAGTTTTCAACTTTTTTAAATTTTCCCAATAGTTGGAAAGGCCTACACAAAGATTTATAGTTCTACTGCCAAGGCATTGTTCTTATTGTTGTTATTGTTATTATAGGATGATACACACACACACACACACACACACACACAAATGTTTGCAGTGGAGACTCCAAGGGGCATCTGTACATATGTAAATGGAAAATAGAGACATGTTAACAGAAATCCATTCATTTTCCTTGGATTGTGTATTGTTTTTATTTTACAGGAAAAACAAAATAAAGCTTGAAGACCCATCTTATGTGGAAAATGAATCCTGTTTGTTAGCGTTTGTGAAGTCTCCACCTTTGTTTCATTTCTTGTAATATACTCAATCTTTTGTGGGAAAGAAAATTGCATTTGTTTTGTTTTGTTTTGTTTTACCTTCATGTAATAATTAGCTTAAGTGTATTAGTCTTTATCACCTGTGTATTTTTAGGGTGCTACAAAAAAAAAATGAAGAAAATAAGGGGATTAAATAATAATAATAATTAAAAAAAAGAAAGATTGTAACCAAATTCATACTTTGTACAATTTTTTGATATTGTGATCCGAACAGGAATAAAAAAGTACAATCTGAATTAACATGCAAAAATGGCCATTTGTCTTTGTTTGTACATTGTATGTACAGTACAACTCCAGTCATTTCATACTTTAAAACTGGTCAGAAAAAAGAATTGTGATTTTTAGTCTTGCAAAAATTGTATGTAGTTAGATGATGTGACAAACCTAATATTTATCTAATAAATATGTATTCGAATGAAACCTGTATATTAGGTGTTCATGTCTTTATTTTGTATTTAAAAATCAGATTGATTATTGCTAGACGTTTATATATATATACTTTCTTGTAACACTGAAAGTACTCTCATTTTTGCTCATGTTACTTTTCTTTTCCTAAATAAATTTGGAAAAAATGATGGACTGATCATTGGGCAGCTGTTTTGTACATCTCAAGCTTCTGTGTCCGATGTTATATGAAGAAAAATAATTGTAAGACCCTACAAGGTCCTTGACTTAGAACCACAACTGAGCTCAAAATTTGGTTTGCTAAGCGAGACCATTGTTAGGTGAGTTTCGCACCATTTTGCAACCTTTCCAGCCACCAAGGTTAAGTGGATCACTGCAGTTGTTAAGTTTCAGTCACACGGTTGGTAGGTGAATTTGGCTTTCCCCAGTGATTTTGCTCATCAAAAGGTCGCAAAAAGGGATCGTGTGACCCCACGATACTCCGTCTGAATTTTGATAGTGTGACAATCTACCCTGTTTTCCCGAAAATATGATCTACCCCAAAAGTAAGTCCTAGCTTGATTTTTACACGTGTACCCAATATAAGCTCTGCCCCCAAAATAAGCCCTAGTTAAGATCCCGTCCCCTCCAGAGTGGACGGGTAAAAATTAAGCTGGGGTGGGAATGGGGGTTGTGGAGTTGCCCTACTACTTACATTTGGACAGTTGTAACCAGGCCTTGCACACCCCTACATCTGCCTTGCCGGCCCATTTCTTCAGCAGCCGGCAAGGCTGGCAAGGCTTTCCTGAAGGCCTCTATAATTGATAACAAAGCTCAGGATCGATTCAGAGCTCTGTTAATGACCACAGAGGCCTTTAGGAAAGCCTTGCCGGCCGCAGAAGAAGTTCCTGAAGGCCTCTGAAAGCAAAAAGGAGGCCGGGTGTGATGCGCACAAGTGAGGTGGATGACATCCCCTGAAAATAAGACCTGGTGCCTTTTTTGGTGGCCAAAAAAAATATAAGACGGGGTCTTATTTTGGGGAAAACACAGTACTGCAATGGTCGTAAGTTGAAAACCAGTTCAGAAGTCACTTTTTTTCAGTTCCATTGTAACTCCAAATAGTCACTAAACAAACTCTTATAAATCAAGGGCTACCTGTGTTCAGCCTTTACAGTCAAATAAATTTAATTATACAGTGCAGGAATTCTCAAAATTGGCCAAGTCACATCCTCTAAAACGATGAATTGTGCTTTTCAGCCTGTCTTCCTCCCCCCAAAATGTTAAATTCCGTTGGGTTTTTGCTTAGGCAAGAAATAAACAGATCGATTTATGTTATAGCTATGTAATCTGTGTGTAAGATGAAACAATGGTAAGGCTTCACAACTTCCTAAACTAAAATTGTGCCTTCCTTACAAACGAGCAGAAAAGTAAATCCCTCTTTTTGTAAAGAAACTGTTTTGGAATTGCAGCCTGAAATCAAAAGTTCCCGCAGATACATGGCATTAAGAGTTTTGAGACAAGGAACAATTTCAAGGAATGACTCATTCCAAAGGTCCTTTCATTGGTTTGGATAAGGTGGGAAAAATCTCCTTTTCTTACAAATCTCCCAACAATGATACTTTTAAATCAATAAATTCTCCTAGTACATCTTTTCTACTTTTCGAGTTTTAAAATGGATGTAAACAAGAGGAGTTTTATTTCCCTTTTAAGGTTAAAGAATTTGAAAAAAATGAATTTTGTTAATAGAAATGATGATAGCCCATAAAGATTAACGTGCAAAATATTACCTTGGATCTTTTTCCAAGTCATACTTTTTGTTGAAGTCCAGGGCATTTTTTTTTTATTTTATTTTTTTAGAAAAGAGCTCTTGAGTCCATGCATTGTCTTATCATCCTTTCCAAAGTTTTGTTTTCACAGCTTAGACCATTGAAAAGATCACTGCTGGAGCTACGGCGATCTCAGGTGTTGTAGAAATATCCTCCTCTTTCATGATGAGGTTTTACATCTCACAGAGCCTTCCTCCTTTCTACCTCTTGATGTCTCCAGCACACTGCTAATCCCAATTTTGAAACCCAGGGGGTGAAAAAAAAACAGCACATGGGGACCATCTTCAGATCTTCATCATCAACAGTAAGTTGATTCACACGTTCTGGTGAGGGAAAAGTTCCCCGATGATGGGCTCCTGCATTAATCCGAAAGTTCAGAAGGTCCAGGCGTCCGAGCCAGATTGGATCCTACCACATTATCCTGGGACATCTATATTTGCCATTAACCCATTAAAATTGAGTTTATAAAGAACTCAAATAATTATACACAAATAATTATAAATGCCACCTTGTCTTCTTCTTCTTCTTCCTCCTCCTCCTCCTCCTCCTCCTCCTCCTCCTCCTCCTCCTCCTCCTCCTCCTCCTCCTCCTCCTCCTCCTCCTTTCTGCCATATCTGTCATTGGATGTTGTTGGCGATCATGTTGGCATTCATATTTTTATCAACAGCGGCATAAAAAAGTGCTGCTGAGTTTTGTCCAAACCAGTCCCTTCTATTTTGAAGCCCTGATGTTCTTCTTCAGCCTGGACGTCATTCGCCTCCAATCTTTCCTTGTTGCCTTGTCAAAGAATTCAACAAAAGATTTATCTGGCATGGTTTGTTTTTGACAGACCCACCTTGGCTTGTGGTTTTCGCTTTGCTAGCTTCTAGGTGTTCGCAGACCTGTTACAGGTAGTCCTCAGCTTACGGCCATAATTGAGCCCAACATTTCTTCTACTAAGTGAGACAGTTGCTAAGTGAACTTTGCTCCATTTCACGAGCTTTCTTACCACAGTTGTTCAGTGAATTACATTTCACTTCACATCTCACCCCATTTAACTTCAATAAATGACCCTGAAGCTATTTGAGGGTCAGGGATCTATTCTGTAGCCTCAGAAATGAAGATAGAAA